AAAGCAGTAACTACTTTTTCATAAACTGAGATATATTAATCCACATTAGCTTTTGCATCTTCACAGTGAGAATTATTTGACAATAAAAGTCATCTTTGACCCATATCATTGTCAGTGATAATACCTCTAGCACCTTTTGAACAAGTTATAGATATTTGTAATGTTGCAAGATGTTTCAATAATGGAGTAGAAGATGATTGAGTAATCTACATCTCCAAAAGCAAGCAATTGACATTCAATTGACTGTCAATTGCCCTCCATAATGTTCTTGGTAGACATCTGTCTTGTCTCCAGTACTTGAATAAACTGGCTCTTTGGCTCAACCACTGATGATGTAATTTTCATGTGGGAAAATTGGTTCAATTTAGAGCAAGAAATGATTAAATTTCTTGGATCAGCATTAAATCAGCAGTATTCAGCATCAAATCAGCATTTTCAATTATCCACTGCATCAAATGTACAGATGTCTTCTGTGGTAAATGTTTTTCTACTGAACAATTAGATGCAGGAAACTGAAAGGTTAAATCTGTGTGACATAAATTCACTTTCACTTTCATTATACGCTAAGTATACTGAAATGTATGACATTCCCACAGATACCTATCTGGTTGGTGAGGCATACAAGCTATGTTTGGCCAACAACTTGTATTTTACCTTCTCCAGAAACAAATCTGTTGGGTCTTGCATTCCAGAGACCTTCAGACACTTTTGTTCCTCAAAAGAAAAGAATACAGTGAAGGTTAGGAAGGTGGGGGGGTTTCTCAAAACATGAGGGTTCAAAAATGGAAAGCTGATTGGAATCTTCTGAGAGTGAGAAGATAAAATAAAAAGAGATTGAAGTATCTTTAAATGTAAAACCAGAGCAAGGAAAAGGATGAGCTCTAGGAGGATGGATGGGGCAAAAGATTGGGTAAACTTTTCTTTTGAAAGTGGAATTATTGTGGTTGGTTAGCAACTTAAATACTTTCTCTTCCCATCTTGGATGAGTTCACAATAAATGCAATCACATCGTAAGTAAAAGTTTTGCAGAAGAGTGAAGTGAAAGGGTTTGAAATCAATGATCACATTTATTTCACACAGAACAAACAGGACATAACAAATGTACACAAACAAATAAATGAGAAAAATTAAGAATGAAAAACATAACTAGATGAACTGCTTACCTATGAGTCATTCACAATAAATGCAATCACTTTGTAAGTAAAAGTGTTGCAGAAGAGTGAAGTGAAAGGGTTTGAAATTGATGAGGATCAAACCCTTGACTCATAGGCAGTTTATAAAGACAGAAACATAACACTATCACACAGCTAACAGTTAAGGAACACAGTGCAGCACGAGAATAAAAAATAGCACACATGTACAGCCCTTTGCATAATTGATGACTTTGAAGGAAAAAAACCTTGAGTTTTCAAATAAAAAACCTCAAGTTTTGTCAAGTTTTGTCAAAAAGCTGCTGAGTTTTTCAAAAAATCAGTGAGTTTTTGGAAACCTGGCCCAGTAATTCTAAAAGAGAAAGAGCTCACTCAATTTTGAAAAAACTCAAGTGTTTTCTCTTTTTCCAAAGTCATCGATTCTGCAAAGGGCTGTAGATATATCAAATAAGATCACACATCACAACAGAAAACAAATCAAATGATAATGAAAAGAAAACATTATTCTTGCCATACCAACATCTTGTGCAGTACCATTCTGTTAGGGATGCTAACTTTTCTCAGTGGCTTCTTCAGTAGCCTTGTCCAGCTACTCTTTCATCTTTAGGTAGAAACTTGAAACATCTTAGGTTTCTTGACACTTGGATGAGGGTTATTCCTTGTGCCTTGTCAAAATCCAGGCAGAAGATTACTTTATGCTGGTAGTGAAACCTAGTTTGATTGGTTGGAATTCAACTGTTGAAGTAACCAAGAAGTCAAAACCTTCCTTGCCACCTTGTGAAGAATGGATTCAGGTTCATCCTTGATATCATTCTTTTCAATATATTCCAGATAATACATTAAATCTTATACTTAACAAAGTCCCACACTTGCTCCTTGCAAGTAGTTTTTGGGAGGAACTTACAACAAACAGGCACACTTTGGCCTGTGAGGGGAAAAATGTTTTCATGAGAAATCTTTCCTCCCTTGTAAATCTTTTTATCCCATTGGTGGTTTTTCTTTGACCAAAGGGAACTCCTTTTGCTCCATCTTAGACACTTGTTACTTTCCAAAAGAAATCCTAAGGAAATCATCCCCCTCCTCTTTCTTTGCTCACAAACCTGGTGCAAAATAGTGTGTATGACATGTGATTTTGCTTGCAGCAGTTATAAGGGACCAGCTACATACAAAAACAACATGAATACAGTTGTTATGCTCCAACTTCTAGAGCAAACCAAACAGGAGTGTTTCAAGTTCTTTAGGATATTCTTAGACAGTTATGAGTGTCTAAGACAGATGAACATAAGTTCTGTTTGGTCCAAGAAACACCACAAATGGAATTGAAAGTTTTATAAGGGAGGAAAGATTTCTCACCAAGAATCTTTTCCCCTCACAGGCGGCCAAAGCATGCCAGTTTGTCATAAATCCCTCCCTTGACTACTCAAAAGGAGCAAGCATGGGACTTTGAGTATAATTAAATTTAGTAGATCACACAAAATTTCTGATGACCATACAAAATCATTTTTGTCAATGATGGCTTTTCAGGATACATTTTACTCATAGCTTGATTGACAAATATAGCCTGAAGTTGTTTGTTGGTACCTTGCAGTAATGGTTGATTGGTAGGAAATGTCATGATTGGATTAAGTGAGGAATAGTGTAATTGATAAAAGTATTCAAACATTTCTTCTTCTTGTCAACTAGAAACTTGATTTTCCAAAACTAAATAGAGATCTGTTTTTTTATGGCAAAGTGAGTAAGGCAATAACAAAAACATGGATTTTTCAATAATCAAGATCCCCATGATCTCAACCCCAGAAAAAACAACAATACGAAATAAAAAGATTGACAAAAGAGAGCAAACCAATCACAAAAACAAAGAAAAAAAATCAACCCATTGAAGTGTGTGTAGGTTGGTTCTATAGCAGAAAAAATTGATAACATTGCTTGATTTACTATAGTCTCAGATACATATCATAAATTACACAACAGTCAATCTGAGACATAGTTATGCAATGAGTGTAAGACATGCAAGGGGAGGACCCCAGAGAGCTCTTATCAAGATGTGCATGATGTAAAAAAAATTCCTACTACACACACTTCACCACAGTTTACATTCATAAAAACTTGATCAAATCCCTTTCTCTTTCCTTACCAATATCTAGCCAGGAGCAAAGCACTTTGGTAACTGTGAAATCCATACCTACACAAGTGTGAAAAGTTTGTAACCCGGTGTAAAGGATGTGAGATCCAGAGCAGATCACAGCAAACAGAAGAAAACAAAATCTTCTACATCATGCATCTCCAGTACCACAGCCTCAGGAGCTCTCTGGGGTCCTGCAAGGGGTCATTATGGGGTCACCTCAAAACTGCTGTGTTTTCAGTTGCAATGAGATCATGTAGGATATAATGTTTTGTGAGTGGTATTCCTTTTTGACCTTGAATTATTTTCCTTTATAATAATCAGGATTTTGAAGGGAGTATAAAGATACAATTTTTTTGCCATTTTTTCTTGAAGAATATGAAACCTTCTTGTTCCTGAAGACCTTGCTCAGCGCACAATTTTTTGTACATAGCTCTACATACTATGACTTGAGTTTTGCATCTAAAAGTCTTCCAGTCAATGAAAGTTATTGCTTTGGCTTCAAAAATGAAAACGTATCAAGTAAGAATTGCAACTTTCTTAGGGGAAAAGATCAGAGAATTTAGCTTATAGATGTCCCTTGAAGTCTGAAGATAGAAGTGTTTTCAGAGACTTATAAGATGATTAGAAACTTTTCAAATTATGTTACAGTTTGAGTTTGGTGAATTGATTTTGAAAACTTCAACTCATTTGACTTTGACCAATCGAATGTAGAAAACCAATTTAACCACCAGCACCACCACCACCAGCTAACAAACGGTCCAAGATAAAACTCAGTATCAGTCCATCAAAACGAACGAGATCTTCATCGATCACTCTCTCCTTGGAATTTAATTTCATTAGGAGGTTAAAGACGAGTTGAGGGGTGTAGAAACGTGGCTTCCTACATACCACGTGAACCAACAGACGAGGTGTTTTTACCTCCTTCATTTAATTTACTCACTTGGTTCTCTGGTAATATGTCTTGGCTTTATCCTATCACTCATAACATTCCTTGGTAAGTGTTCTTCTTCTATATCCATCCACTTGATCAAAAACCGATGGGAAAGCAAAAAAACTAATTCTTTGTTTTGGTGTTTGAATAATAGGTTCATTCGTACTCCTGCCATCGCTCTCTTAGGTCCTGAATGTTATACTCATTTAATTTATGATTTACAAATCGATCATCTCATTTGTTTGAAATTAGGAATCTCAAGAGCTTTAAGTTTAGCTATCGTCTTGGGTTCTGGAATCGTTAAAATCCCTCAAATCCTTAAAATCTTGAAATCTAAATCGGCTCGTGGTCTTAGTTTGAGTAGTTTTATTTTAGATACTTTAGGATTGATCATCATTGTGGGATATAATTATAGGCATGACTTTCCTATTTCAACTTATGGTCAGTAGTTCTCTTGATTTTTAAAAAAGTGAATCGAATTAGATTTTAGCTTATACAATGATTCTTTTTGTTTGGGCGGATGGAAATAGCTGAAAGTTTTTTACTCTTCATTCAAAACTTAATCATCACCTCTTCAATCATCTCACTTTCACATCAATCCAACTCGACTTTCTTAGCCATCTTATCCATCATCTTACCCACCACAACTCTCACGATCATATTGATTCCAAGTTCACCTATTCCATTATCTGTACTACAAGCTTTATTAACTTTAACCATTCCCTTATCACTCTCATCTAAACTTCCTCAAATCTTAATCAATCATCAAAAAAAATCAACCGGTCAATTATCTTCGTTTTTAATCTTTAGTTCTTTCTTAGGTTGTTTAGCTAGATTGTTTACCACTCTTACTGAAACAGGTGATTTCACTTTACTTTTGAATTTCGGAGCCGGTACTTTACTTAATGGGATCTTATCTTTACAAATGATTTCTTATTGGAATGAATCTTCAACTAATCCGTTTCCTCAACTTGATTCCTTTGATTCAATCGAATTATCTCATTCTACTTCGATCTCTTCTTCTGATCATTCTCCAATCAAAAGATTTAATTCAAATCATTCTAATCTTTCTCATCCTAGAATCAATTTAAACAAACCAAAACAATGGACACGTAAAGCAGATTAAACTCTTCGTTTTCTTCTTCTTACCTTTTGGTCTTTCTATTCATAAATCAAATTAATTCTTTCTTTCTTTCATTTTTTTGTTTTTTTTCGGTGATTTGATTTGGTTTTTATGTTAGATTTTTTTTGGGGTGGGGCGGTAGAGAGGTGTGATTTTCAATAATTTAGTATGATTTTAAATTGATTCATCGTTTAATGATGATTTAATTTTCGAAAATCAAAATTGGATAACACTTTTTGTTTTTGTTTTCTTCTTCCAAAGTGGATTTTAAAGATCGTTAAAGTTGTAAATGTTTTGTTTTAGAAGACAGAAAGAAAGAAAGAAAAAAAGAAATCTAATGATGATTCCCACCACAAAAAAAAACTTAAGAAGAACAAATTAGACTTCAAGATTGTTTGTTTTATATTTATGATATCTTTCATTAAACCAAACCAATTAGAATAAAAAAAATCGATACCTTTTCTCGTGTGTGTGTGTGTTTTTCATTTATAGAAATTTGTTTCGTAGATGTTTTGTATGTTCTTTTGTTGCCTGCCTAGATGAAATGTGATTTTATTTTAAAGCAAATGGAGATTGAGATTCATCATATATATACAATTTGATATGCTTTGAGTAAGTTTTAAGTGCAAAAAGTGATACTTTTTATACATGCTGTAGATAAAATATAAAGAAAATGATAAAGAGGAGTATCAAGTTTTCACATTCTTTGAAACGAGTTTTGTTTGCTTCATAAAAGTGCACAAGAAGAAGCAAAACGTTCGGTTGCTTCACTAATGGACATGACCTCAACCTATAGCACCATGACCACCGCCCAAAAGAATTCAAATTATCAATAATCTGAGAACATACTTCAAACATCTAAGAAGAAGAAGAAGAAAAAGAAAAAGAAACGACTCACACTACTAATCAAATTAATTTTTGCATGATCAAAACAATTTAACCAACTTGAATGATCATCAACAATCATGATAAACCTTCTGATTTCTTTATAAGAGATTTGTTTAAGTAAATTCAATCCGTCTACAATTCCTTTCATTTCATCGAGTTCAGTGAAATCTTCTTGATCTTCAATCTCAATCTTCATGACTCCAAAACTTGAATTGATCAAACTTTCTTTGAAGATTGGAACAAGATTGGTTTCTAAATCTTTAAAGACTTCTTCAATGGCTTCTTTTTCTGATGGTTTAAATTTGTTGGATTTGTATTTATCACAAAGTGATTTGGTCGTGATTGGATGTAAAAATAATTGGGAATGATGATTTTCTTTTTGTAAAGCTCGAAAGATTTGGAATGGATTAGTTGTTGGAGTGAGATTCTTCATGATACAGTTGTAATTCGGAACAAGTATTAAATCTATTTAATGAAGAGAATACATTTTCATTAATGAGTTTGATGGTGATCATTTATTTGGTTTGATAAAGTTGGTTACTTACTCATGGTCATGATGGGTTGGATCCTGGTGATTTCATGATTTAAAGATCGATTTGAATTGTTTCCAAACTCTACCGGATTTCGAACCAAGATCAAAAGTAAATCAAAAATGAGAAAAGAGATGATGATGATAATAATAAGAGAAAAATTGACAAACCAAAAATAGCCACATAATTATGTAATTTGACTAATTTGTTCAACTCTTTCAAAGACCCAATCTCACTTGTTAAATTCCTATGAATCAAAATCCGTTCAACTTGATGAGCCTTAACAGTTTCAATAGGAACGGAATTTTTCAAACTAGTGAAATTTTTACTAGGAGATCCGAATTGAACTCTTTTAATTCCTTGATTTTCAAAAATATACCAAAGTGATAAGATTTCAAATTCATCTAAACTTTTAGTTTTTGAAGCCCAGATGACAATTGATGATTCTTTTGATCCGAAATGAACTGATCGACTTTCTTGCCAATTGACGGCTTGTTGAGCATTTAAAAGTGGGTCTTGGGTTGGATCATAATGAGGATTTTGTTGTAAGAGATCTTCTAGTGATTGTTTGATGGAGGTAATTTCGGGTTTTGAAGGCTTTGGTTTTGATTTTCTGGGTCGTTTTCGTTGAGAACTGGTTGATTGTCGTGTTTGTCTAGCAGTACTAATGATTTGATTTGAATTGATCTTTGTGACTGATTTTTTACGTAGAGCTAAGGGTTCATGATCATCAGATGAAGAATCTTCAGATTTAATTGAAACTGGTTCTTTTGATTTTGATTTTCCTTTTTGTTTCCTTTTCATTTCTTTTTCATCTTCAGTTGATTCATATTTAATTGAACTTAAATCAGATAATGAACTTTCGATTTCACTTTCACTTTCTTCTTTTTTGATTCTTTTTGATTGTCCTCTTTTCTTTTGTACAAAATTTTTAAATTCCGGTGTATCTACAATATTCTCTTTTGGTTCCCAAGTATTATGATCTGATGAATAATCTTTCCACTTAACTAAATATTGCCATACTAAAAAAATCATTTAAAATCAGTCAAAGAAATCTAAGAGAAGAAAGAATTTGAAGACTTGGTCTTTGAAAAATTAAATGATGTTGGTAAAGAAAGATGAAAAAACTTATGTACTTCCAAGTTCCGGTGAAAACTTTTGTTTGATAATATAATCAATTTCAAATCCTTCTTCAGCTTCATCTTCTTCTTTCAATTTATCACTAGACCTGGATGGTTGCACAGCTTTCAAGGGTCTGACCTCCCTTTCAAATAACCTGATGTTCAGAATGGAAAACAAAGGAGACAATGGAATTGATTAGATCACAAAGTGTCTTAATGATGGATGAAAAGCAAGGAAAACTTACTGAATGAGATCTGATTTTTGAGTGTAAGAATGAGAAATCTGATTTTGTAGTAAGATTGATTTCAATTCAGAGACTTCAACGAGAGATGGATCAAATTCCGGTAACATCCATTCTGGAGCTGGCTCTTGATTAGTTGAAGCCATCTTGAAGGTGAACTGATCGAAGGTTTATTGAAAACTTGACTTTGATCGATTCGCTTGAAGATGGTACTGATCTCGAGAGCGGACGTGGCCGCGTGGGAAGAGGGGTTTTGTTATGTTGTAAGTACTCCATCAATTCGATTTCCGACTTATGTAGTGGGTAGCGCCGCCATCACCTCAACTCTCTCACTCTGGCTTCTGAAAGATCTTAAGTTTTTCAAAATCAAGATGATACAGGATGTGTTGATCAGAGTCAATCATCAGAAATCCATCAAGAGGAATGAAAGAATTCGACGAGGAATGAACGTTTGAGTGCTTATTGGAACCCTTCCGACTGGAAACTATTTAGAAGAACTTCGAGTCAATCCATCGACAGTCATCATTGGGCTACATCTTAGGTTCATTTCAATCTTTTCGCGTCGATTGTCTTGCTTTGTTACTAATGAGATGACCTGATTTGAACAGCTTAGGAAATCAAGTTCACGAGTTATCAAAGTTAAAAAGCTGGGATGACTATCGAACTGAAAGCTGATCAAGGACAACTTCGATCAAGAGATAATGAACCACCTTCAACAAACCAACTAGCAGATGCATGTTCTGATGCAACTGAATCTCTTTTATCCCAAATTCGACAAACAAACAATTCTACTTTACCATCACTTCCGATTCTCATACTAATGAGTGATGATCCTGATGGAATCGAATTACTTCAATCAGTCGAACGTTCAAAACAATGGAAAATAATGAACATTGTCATCACTTTTAGATAAATCATCAGATTTATCCAATTTTCAAGACTTACATCAATCAAGTTTTTCTACAAACCTCAAAAGATATTCATCAAAATCTTTTCATAGAGCTGGATTTCATGAATCTGTTTTTAATCATTTTACCATTATCTATTAAACGGATTACTCAAACTCGAAAGTTTCTTATTGAATTAACTTTGCTTGGTCGGTTATCGGATGGTATTATCTTTACTGGTAGTTCAAATGTTAGTAAACTATTTGGATTGCTTGGAAACGAAAAGAGATTGATGGAAAGAACGATAAGATCACTTTGATGTTCGATGGCACCCTACCGCTCTGTACACCCGATGATGAGGTTTACCCCAACTGGTGAGTTTTGATCTATGCGCTAAAGTCTCCCGCAGTAACGAACATTTTATCGTGCTTTGGGAACTTTCGGAACCGAACAAAGTTTTCGCACTCTAACACACTTTTATCTACGTTCGACAACGTCAACATGATTTTTTCGCCCCAGCATCACAGGATTTCAGGCAACATACAATGTCCAACATCTCAATCACTCTCAAGTATTAAGGCTTCTATTCATACAAGAATCACGGTGACCAACGCAGCTATTCATATTTCAGAGGAGCTGAGATCTCAATACCATGGTATATAGATTTACTGGTGATACCACCCCTAGATTGCTCTTGTAACATATCGTTTTCTTCATATACTGTCTACATCATGGAACCAAATCATGTGCAGATAATACAACTCATCAATCAATCATTTATGATCATATATGTGAAGTTTTTCTCTGGATTTATCTTTTCAATTCTGTAAGAAAAAAAATCTTTTCAACTTGTTTTTTGGTGTCATTCTCTCATCTCATTTTATCATTGTAATCTAATTGTGATCATCATGTGTCAAGTATTCAGCAAAACTGTAAAGGTTTTACCTTGTGAGACCATATTTGGTGGAATGATTAGCTTATGTATGAGTTATTTTTATCAATCAGTAAAGTTTGACCTTTTGAAGGAAAATTCAATGTAGTACATCAAGTCAATTGAGACAAAGTTGAGTTGAATGGGAAACAGAAGGGGAAGAAAGGAATGATTCAGGGAATCAGTAAGGAAGGTAGGGATGGATAGTTGGATAAATCAAAGCAGTGGGTGTTTTAGTTTGAAAAACTTCAAGTGTATGAAAAGAAAAACCAATTTTGCTGTGTTTTGTTTTTTTGTTTTGTTTCTCCTTTTGACCAATTTTTATTGAAAGTGAATGAGAAGTATAAAAACAGAAAACCCCACAGACAATGACATGATTGGCCTTTGGAATCAAAGAAGCAGACATTGATGGTCATATAAGTGTACTGAAAATCTGTTGAAGTCCAGCAAGTGGTAGCAATTGAAATTCGGCCAAGAACTTGAGCAATTCCATCCAAAATCTTATCCTGAAGTGTTTGGAATACAGTTTTGGAGTCATTCTTCATTGCTGTGCGTCCTGGCCAGTACACTTCCAGGATTAACCACTGTCCCAGGTGGGATAATTTTTCTTTTTGGAATAATGAATTGACATTATAGTGTAAATGCCAATCAATTATTTCAAAAAAATACATTATTCCAATTGGGACAGTGTTTAATCCTGGCAGTGGTAGAATGATGGGCAGATTGCACACAAAGCTTTTTTGTAAAATTTCTCAATATCACATCAAAAGGGTAATCTTGCATGCCATTGTGCAATAAACTCAGGGTTTTTTTGTATATGCACAGTTGGCATATTGGTAGCTGATGTAGCAGATGAAAAAAACACGGGACTTAAACCCGTCTTCTCGTGCTAGTAGAGCCTCCACCACAGTGCCCGTAGCGAAGGCCCCGACGTCGGGGGCCCAACGATCTTGGCAATTTTGTCGCATTTGTGTGATTTTTGTGGCCCAAAAGCGTACAATTATCCACAAAGGGGAAAGATTGGAAGAATATTCCTTACGCTGAACTTCATCCGTCTGAGTCAAGCCTGAGGCAGACTAGGAGACAAGCGGCCCTGAACGCTCAGTATGAACAACTGAACTTTCATTTTCCCCTACTGAACGCTCAGTGTTCCTCACTGAACACCTGGAAGCTCCCCATGAACTATCCTTGCCCGAGAAAAGCTGGTGGCCATCCCCCGTTCCGCATTGGAGAGCCAGTGTATGTATGTAAGTCTATGTAAGTACATACATAAATTCATAATGTCAGTTCATCCAATATTCATAACAACGGGCCCAGTGTGAGTGGCACAAGCCCACTTTGTTGATCAGGATCACTATACTTCGATGATTTCTTTCGAGATCAATGGATTTAGCCCAAGCTTACAATTCCTAGGAAGCTCAGCCTTCCATTTCCCTATCCAGTCAAAACCTTATCACCAACACTTTCAACTAACCAACCAAGTGCTCAACTCGATTTATATAACTGTCGAGTCAACAACCTTATGGCAAAGAGGACACTTGAGATCCCGAAATTAAAATCAAATCTGCATCGACTCCATCACATTCTAAGTTTCATTAACGATCTTGACTATTGACGAAGAAGAAACTGAAATGGAACCTACAGATCAACTATCTGAACATGAACCTTTAACTGCTTTTAATCCGCACAAAGATATCAGCCAATTCCAGAAGACATTAAGTTACCTTTGCTTATTTATTCTCGGTGCTTGTATTCTCTTACCATGGAGCTCGCTCTTGGTATCAACAACTTATTTCGGATCTAACTTGGTGGGAAGCGAATTTGAATTCAGTTATATGAATTGGGTAGCTGTTGTCTTTACATTCTTCAATGTCTCATCCCTCATTCATGCTACACTCAAACAAAACAATGTACGTCCAAGATATTTCTTATCTCTTAGTCATAATCTCACTGAACCGTATCATTCTGTTTGTAGTCAAGTCACACTAGAAGGATTCTCTTTTCACTAATTGTGATTATCATTCTATCATTAACGCTGTTATGTTCTACAAGATTTGAAAAATTTGGATCTCATACTTTCTTTACTTTCTTGATGATTCAAAGTTGGTCTATGAAGTCATTCTTATTCATCTACTGCGAAGAGATCCTGAGGTATGTGTTCAAATACTCTCATTTGTTATGTAAACCTCGATGTTTATGTTATATTTGTTCGAGATCAGAACATGTTAAAGATGATCAGGAGATGGCCACCAGATATATACAATGTATTTGCTGTGATATCAGCTACTCAAGATCGTTTAACAAGAATCAATGATGATTCAAATGTACTCTTGATGACTTGTCTAACTGAACGGTAAGATCCCTTCTTGCTTCTTTTTCCTAATTTTTCAATCGTCTGATTCAAGTTTTGACTCTCTTTAATCCCACACAGTTATATTTTGAATCATCAACCCGGAAAAGCTTTGGCTTACTATTTGAGATTGAGAAAGCCAGAGGTATTTGAATTGATCGAGGATCATAACTTGTTTACTGATGTCCAGGATCAAGTATTGTTATTGATCGAGTTTGATGATGAGTTGAACCCATATCAAAATCTGAACAAGAAAGAGCATGGGACAGCTATCAATCTATTAGTTGAACATACTCATTCAATCCCCGTGAGTCTGCTTCTCTCTTGACATTTCAAACTGTATCCTTGTGGAATTCTGAAAAGATCGTGTTTCATTTTTGCGATTATTAAAAAGGTTTTAAGCGTCATAACTCAATTGACAGATCACCGACGATATCTGGCCACTTATTTGGATGCATGATTCGACATCGATCCACTCTCAGGAACAGATTACAGCGATCTGCACGTTGATCTTTTTGCAGAGTTTGATAGAAAAAGGTTAATGGAATATCTTCGAGCAAGCAACACGTATAGTCTTGCCAAGGTTTGGATCTGATTTCATATTTTATTTATTTACATCCATGGTAATGATTTAGATTTATTGAGATGATACCTGGTCGGGTTTGAATAGGCTTATAAGATCTGTAGTGAAGCCGACTTTGTTCCGGAGATGGTCTATCTTTTGGGTAGGATGGGACATAACAAAAAAGCTCTATTTTTGATAATCGATCGAATTGGTGATGTTCAAAGGGTTGGTTCCTTATGAGATCACCTATCTCTCTTCCTCGTCCGTAAGAAGAAGAAAGACATCTTAATCTTACAGGATTTGATCACAATGATTATTTTAGGTGATTGACTTTGCTAAGGAACAGAATGATCATGATCTTTGGGAAGACTTGTTGTTATATTCGGAAAGCAGACCAGGTATGAATCCATGAAATTTTAAAACATAATTCTGAGAAGTGACTAAAGGTGTTTATCTTTATGGATGATATGTTTTAGCTTTTATCAGAGGTCTTTTAGATAATGTTGGATCTGAAATTGACCCGATCAGATTGATTCGACGAATCCGAAATGGATCGGAGATTGAAGGTTTGAAAGAATCTATCATTAAGATTCTTCATGATTTTAATCTACAGGTATGTGTTTCGCTTTTCTCTGTCTTTCTTTCGATCTTTGCGGTTGCTAATTTTTTCCGATGTGATCCTCAGATGATCACAATGATTATTTTAGGTGATTGACTTTGCTAAGGAACAGAATGATCATGATCTTTGGGAAGACTTGTTGTTATATTCGGAAAGCAGACCAGGTATGAATCCATGAAATTTTAAAACATAATTCTGAGAAGTGACTAAAGGTGTTTATCTTTATGGATGATATGTTTTAGCTTTTATCAGAGGTCTTTTAGATAATGTTGGATCTGAAATTGACCCGATCAGATTGATTCGACGAATCCGAAATGGATCGGAGATTGAAGGTTTGAAAGAATCTATCATTAAGATTCTTCATGATTTTAATCTACAGGTATGTGTTTCGCTTTTCTCTGTCTTTCTTTCGATCTTTGCGGTTGCTAATTTTTTTCCGATGTGATCCTCAGATCTCATTGATTGAAGGGTGTAGATCAATTCTAGAGAATGATTGTCGAGATTTATCGAGGATGTACTATGTCAGTCAGTCAGCCCGGAGCTTTAGGAGATAGTCAGTACTATTTCTTTTTCCGAATGAAGAGTTTGCATATTGCTTATATTTTTGGTTCCTTCGCACAACGTGCAAAAAGGCTCTCTGAAGTGTGAAAAGTGTGGATTGAAGTTAGATGAACCAGTAGGAGAAGAAGAAATAGTAAATGAAATCTCATTGATGTTTCTTTGTAGACATACTTTTCATGCTTGGTGTGTATTTGCAAAAGACACAGTGATGGCAGCATTAGTAGAAGGTAGGATGAGAAAAGGTGTGATTAAATCTAAATTTGAACAAACTGTGATCTTAATGTCTGGAGATGATATAGGTTGCTAGATTTGTTGTAAACCTTTAGAGAAGAAGAAGATTGGGAATCTTTTGGTTTGAGGTTTAGATTTGTTTTTTTCTTTTTTGTTGGCTTCTTGGTTTGAATTATCGTGTGAGGTTGGTTTTGGTTGATTTGATTTGATTTGTATGATCAGGAGAAGGTGTAGATTTGGTGGTTATTAAGTTGTAAGAAAGATGAACACTTGCTACTTGATCAATTCACAACTCGAGTGCAAGATGAGATCCATGGGTGGTAGCTTGGGAAACTAGTGACATAGCTTGACTGTTCTAAGGGTATGCTGCAAGCCTAATCATACTTTGACATACATCACCCAATCACAATGTTCGTGGAAGTTGTCTGAACGGCTCAATGACAAGGCTTTCCATGTAAATCTTTGCTAGTATCAAGCATGATTGGTAGATGTGATTTGAAGATAATCAATCACTTGCTGACTTATACTAAGCATGATGTTGTTTACCAAATCTAACAGTACATCCTGATCTAGTGAGTTATTACACACGACCGTGGCACATATTCCATGCCAATCAAGTCTACATAGTACTTGAGGCAGATCGCCCAAGGGAATGTGA